ACTAACCAATGACCAGCCAAGGACCAGCCAAGGATCAGCCAAGGACCAGCCAAGGATCAGCCAATGACCAGCCAAGGACAAGCCAAGGACTAGCCAAGGACTAGCCAATGACCAGCCAAGGACCAGCCAAGGATCAGCCAAGGACTAGCCAATGACCAGCCAAGGACTAGCCAAGGACTAGCCAATGACCAGCCAATGACTAGCCAATGACCAGCCAATGACTAACCAAGGACCAGCCAATGACCAGCCAAGGACCAGCCAAGGACTAATCAAGGAAAGTGGGGGAATTTTGAACGGCTATTACTGTAAATACATGAGTTGAAATAGTTTTTGATTCCTTTCTTTAAAGGAACATTGATGTAAATTGTGCAGCAGCTTATGTAAGTGGCGTTATTTCTGAGACTGGAAGCAGCTCTTCTGTTCTCTGATCAGTTCAATCAGCCTTTCAAAGCTGAAGACTGGAGCAACTTTAAGACGAGTCAAACTTCCAGCTCCTTTCGTTTCATTGGGAACCACTTTAGTTGCAAATCTTCACATTATTTTGTTTTTTTGTATTTATTAGTTCCAAAACAGCATGACTTCATTTAATTACAATTATATTATATAAGGTTATATGTTAATTATATCTGTTCGACAGTTTGAGATAAAGGCTTAAATTCACGCTGGGTCAGAAGTATACATATAAGCTTGTGACAACCTAAAAACTGTAAACTGTTTTAGTCCAGTTAGAGGCAGCTACGAATCCCCCCCCGACCAACGGACACCCGCAGTACAGAGGCCTGCTTAGACGTGGTTAGACGGTGCAGTGGTAGAGCGCATGACCCATGTCGCAGGTTTGAGTCCTGTTTTCCTATCTGCTAACTTTTAAAATAGCAAAAATAAAGTCCACTAGAGCCTAAAATAACATAAAATAAAATAAAATACCAGCAGTAGCCACATTTCTGACATGTAGCACATTTTATACAAATGAGGCTAATTCTTTGCAGAATTTCTTAAATCTAAAAATATACAGAAGTAGTTTTTTCCTCTGATAAAGTAGATTTAAATGATTTTAGTGAAGCATATCCTTTTATTAAAAATATAAAGTTGAACAGAATACCAAATGATGTATATGGGGATACTTAGACCACCTTGGATGAATGTGTGAAGCTGATGATGTTCCGGCATGTGATGGCTGCTGTCTCTGTCCAGGGTGCTGAATGTTAGTCACTCCTCGGTTTCCCCTGTTAACCTTTCTGTCTCATGGGTTGTATGATCGCCTCATGATGATGTTTGTCTTGGAGTCCTGAATGTGGAGACCGCAGCCTGACCCCCGGACTCCTGAGACCTTTGGGTTTAACAATGCCTCACAGGGCAACCAGTGATGCCGCCTCGTCTGTAGACAGCCGTTCTGTTGTACCACCAGCCTCCTGCGCCGCCAGCATGGCTGCATCACGAGGTTGATCCTCTGGAAGTTTTCTTTCAGTTTGAATGTTTTTTCCCGCACCACATTTTCCTTAAACTTTAAAAAATGAGCCTGGTGTTGATCTGGAACATCTCTGTGGGGCTCCTACTCTATGCTACAGTGGGGGGGCTTAGATGTCTTTCTACAGTTTTTAGGCCACTAAGCCTTCAGCTAAAACTTCTAGCATCCAAGATAATGAACTCTAACTTCAGTGTGAATAAAAAACTCCTGCTACTACCTAAATAATTTAGCGCAGAGGCCTTTAATCGGGGGGTCTGCAGTGGGCTGTACTGCTATTAATACCATTGATACTAACCTCCCAGATCTCCAAAGGGGACATTGAAGAGGGGCTTCCTGCTCCATCTCCTCACCAATGTTCAGTTCCTGGATTTAAAGACGTAGCAGACCCCTAGTTTAGTAGAACCCTGAACAGAAAGTCCAGATTAGATCTGGGCAGATTCAGGAGGGTCCGGTTTATCTAAGCTTCAGGAGGATGTTCGCTCTTCAGAACCACAGAGACCTTCTAACTGTTTTAGCTCTGACCTAAAGGTCTAAGGAAGGACAGTTTGGATTCGGTTCTGCAGCACATTCCAGCCTGTTAAGCAGCAACAGTTACTACTGTAACTACTTTTAATCACCATCACTGGAAAAGTCGCTGCAGCGAATCTGTCGTTTAAATATGGAAACAACCGTTGTAACAAACTGCAGCGCTGGTGAATGTGAAGCTGCTTTTTTCTCCACTCAGTGGAAATTTCCCTCAATTAATTCGCTGTAAAATTCATTATTGGATCGTGTCATGAAATTAAATCTTTTCCTGTGTGTTTTAAAATGTTAAGGCTGCTGTTCGCAGAGCTGTGGTGCTGAAAAAAAGGCAACCTGCTGCTGCTCTCTTGTTATTTAAGTTATGGATTAAGAATATTTCTGACTTAAAGTCATGTTATAGGTGATTTATTGATTAAAATCTTACATTAACAAAGAAGGTCATTTCATTTTCTCCACATAACGACCATACATGCCGTTTGTGCTCAGTGCTGTTGCAGCTTCATCTCTCCTTTTGGATCTGCTAAACTGAGCTCAGCGGAAGCAACATCAAATCTTATCTTTGATCTGTGTCTGTTTTCAGAAGCTCACCTCATTGATCCGAAGCACAAGGAAAAGTTCATCATACATCTAACAGGTATGAACCTCATCACAGCTCGGTTATACGTCACGGCCTTTGACATTATGTGCTAAAACAGCACACTTCAATCCACCAATCAATTAATTTCTTTATTTACAACTTACAATTTTTTCTTCTGTGCCCTTCTGCCATAACATCCAGGGGGGACCGAATCCAAAATAACACTTATTATTGTTTTGAGAGCAGGCTGCACAGGAATTTTCCGACAGCCATCGAGTATTTTCTTGCTGGCTCTATTTGGCGAATGCAATATTCCAAATTTGTTGAGCTTTTCCGCCATATTTAATGTACGGCGTCTCATCTTTGAGTTCGACCATTGAGCGAGCCTGCGTTCAATCTCACCCAGAATACGACTCAGCTCACCGTCCTGCCCGTTCACAGACTTTGTGAGCTCATCAACCAATGCCAGCAGCCTGATCATCGCCCCAATTCCCGCCGACATCCTCTGTAATTGTAGATACATCAGGTATATCCTCCAAATCCAAACAGGAGAAATCTGAGTATCATTAATCCAAACATCTTCCACATCCTCTTCTGACAACATTTTAAAAACACACCATCCTCCAAGCCTTCCAGGACTCCATGGTGTATCCCACCAAGTATGTCCCGGTAGGACGGGACGGGTCCCCTTTTCCCCCGTTTCCAGTTGAGAAAAGTTGATCAATTGCATTGAGAGACCAGCTGACCAGATCCATTGTTGGAATCCTGGGTGATACGAAGAGAGAGCTCAGAAAAGACAAGACACAGCAAAGCAGGGACAGATCAGGGAGTTACAGAGCAGCAGGAAAATGGAACCGCCTCCTTCAAAAGTCAGAACAGAAGGATCGGACGAGATAAACACTGTAGCGAAATTTAAAGCTGAATCATTTTCTTTTTAATAGCTGAATGTAAACCACATTCTATTTGTCAGTTAGTGGTCAGCTGACCCCTGTTGTCCAATCAGACGTTTGTGTCTTCAGTCCATTTCTATCACTGACTCCTTTTTCAGTTACTAGAGCAGGAAGTTCTTTACTGTTAATGTGGGAAACCTAGAACCAATATAACCAACTGCAACATATTCTCGTCATCAGTTCGTATGAAATCATACGGAAAGTTATGCACAGTATTTCGTATGTTTTGGATATTTTTCCTCGAAAAAACATATCAGTGCGCATGCGCAGACAGACGAAAAAAGCAGATCCGCGGACGGACGTAAAACTGGGAAAAACAGTCCAATATTTACTTCTTCATGTCTCTAAATACGTTTCTTCCTGTTTTGTATCTTAGGGTCAGGGTTAATTGTATGTTAAATTCTATGTTATTGAATGGTGCGTATATCTTGTCTCGAGGCAAGACGTAAAAATACGACGAAATAAGACGAAAAAAACGTCTAAAACGTACGAAATTACGGTGCATAATTTTTCGTACGATTTCATACGAACTCATAATGAGAATACACTGACCAGTGATAATCCTGTTTCTGTTACTAAACCTAAATATTTTTCTTTCAGTGAAGTTGGTTCAATATTCTAACATAACCTTCTTCTTAGTTATTTCTTGTATCTAAATACAATAATTTACTTTTAATGTCCAAACTTTGGTGTTTTAGTCCATTAAGTAATAAATCATCACTTGAGTCTAATGCCAACAATTATTAATAATAATCCTGACCAAAAAATTATTTCCTAACCAAGTGGAATATTTCTTATACCTTCTTAAAACAACCAAAAGTATCAATTACCAGAATAATCAATGTTTTTCTATTGCTTAGCCTAATGTTCAACACTTTTAATTAAACATCATCAATATCTCTAAAGGCTGAAACTTGTTAATGAACTAACTTTCAAACAGGTCCTAAAGTTAGTTTTTTAATGCTGAAAAATCAACAGGTAAATATTAAAAGCAATTAACATCCATTAAAGGCCTAAAAAAAATAAATCATAGAAATTTCCTGTAGAATCATTTTAATCAGTCGCCTAAAGTCTGAAAGGTTTAGTCCGTGAGGCAGACACCCTGTCTACTTTTAAGGCTAGGCTTAAAACTTTCCTTTTTGATAAAGCTTCTAGTTAGAGTGGCTCAGGTTATCCTGATCTATCTCTATAGTTCTGCTGCTATAGGCTTAGACTGCTGGAGGACATAGGGACCCCTTTTTCCTTTTTCTATGTCTGCTTCTGTCTGTTTGAATCAATCTGACTGGATGATCTGGTGAACTGGAAAGTGACCTGAGATGACATGATGTGAATTGGCGCCATAGAAATAAACTAAATAGAAATGTGTAGCAGGATTGTAGAAAACCAGATTGTTGTGGTTTACAGTCACAGTGTTTAAAGGATTTATGGCTTCCGCAGGAAGCAAAGCTTGACTGATGGGAGCCTTTTCATGCCCTCAGGTCCTCTCTACTTCAAGCCACAGTGCCGGAAGCTGTTCCACCGCCTGTACAACACCACCAGGGACTGCACTGTACCCGCCTGTGAGTAACAACACTGCCCCGAGTTAAAAGTTCACTCCTTCTGTCCTAATAATGACGTCTAAAGCTGCAGGATATTCAATCCATCTGCGTTTGTTTAACAAAGATATCCAGACTTTTCTAAGACAGCTGCGTCTCAATTTATGTAGAAATCCAACTTATTTTAAGCCCCATACTAAGGTTAAGCAATGTTAATAGTTTAGGCCTGGAATGTTAGAAAATCACAGCAGATAACCTGATCTCTCCTTTCCAGAAACCCTGAACCATTAAACCACTTATGTTTCAAGCACCATTCATAATGTCCCCGTTCTGCAAAAGATTACATCTACCATTCAGACTAAATCTTGGCTGCTTGCTAAGTATTTGCTAGTGAGTAATGCAACTGCAGGATTTGAAGATAAGGAACAAGATAAGGCATGCTCTAACAAACAGTCACACCGTGGTACACAGCCGCCATTCTTATGGTTTCAAATCATGCATGGAGTTTGATGTTTGTCTTGGACCGAGAGGCGGGCAGATGAAGATATGCGTTCAACGTTTGCTCTCAGATGTGCACATCTCTCGGAGAGGACGGCATTAGCATTTACGCCTCACATCCTGCTGATAGGCTGCAGTTTAAATGCTTGTTTCCAGAAATGCTTCACCTGTTAAATTAGCAGGTTTTTCCATCTAGAAACGCAGAAACTAGATGCTTTACTGAAGGTTCCATAGTTCATCCTGCAGCTCCTTCATCTGCTTTGCTCCCACTTTACAATGACCGTCCCATTGGCTAATAAATAGTTTATATGTTGGTTATAAATCATTTTTTCAAATACTTTGTAGTAAGTTTTTACTATGCATGAATTAAAGGGCGACAATAGACTGAAAATAGACCTATTTCTATGCAAATACTGACCTTAATCTGTTCAGGTGTGTATTTAATGCACAATAAACTCCTATAATTGAGTTTTTAAGTGTTTATAGATTCAATAATAACATATTTATATATGCTATTATTTATTAATGTTAATAATTATAAGATTATATATATATAAAGTAATCAACAATTATAATAATAATAATCATTTATTTATTAATATAAATAATAATGCATTTAATAATTCATATATAATAAATTATAATATGAATAAAATATTTTTATAAGTGTAATAAAATAGATAAATATTATGTAATTTATATAAATAAATATAATAATAATAAATTATTATTATTGATTTATTATAATTATTTATATATTTTATTTAATGAATAATAATTAAATATAATATCATATAATTATTTATTAGAATTATTTTATATTATATTAATTATGAAAGCAGTGCTAAGATTTTTATATTTTGGCCTTTAATCCAAACATGGAGTCCTAAATATGGCGACGATTAAATACATATATTCCAAATTTTTCCAAAATGTGTTTAATGTTACATGAAAAAGAAAACAATCTACATCTAAACTTTGAGACATATATTCAATAGAAACCGCAATCACCATGTCTCCCATTAAGTCCAACAAAGCAACACAAATGAGGCTCAGTTAAAACACAACAAATTGCATCTAATGACTGAAACTTGATTTGTTTTTTATTCTGTACATTTCTGGATTTTTCTGCATCATTGAAAAGATGATTCTAACTCTGAGCAGCAGATGGCCGCTCACACTGAGCCTGGTTCTGCTGGAGGTTTCTTCCTGTTCAAAGGGAGTTTTTCCTCTCCACTGTCGCTACAAGCATGCTTAGTGTGAGGGATTGCTGAAGAGTCAATGAGTCGATGCAATCAGCTGGTTTTCCTTAGATAGAAAACTTTGAATCAATCTGACTGGATGATCTGGTGAACTGGAAAGTGACCTGAGATGACATGATGTGAATTGGAGCTATAGAAATACACTGAATAGAATTAAATAAATGATCTAAGGTGCTAAAGCAACAGATATTCCACATGCGATGCTCGTCGTGTTTTTGGAATGCATTAAATATTTGACCAAACCTAAAATTGCACAACTGTGCAGCTAAACTGGTCTCTCTCTCTAAGGTGAAAGTTACAGGAGCTGGGAAGGTTCAAACTTGTCCAGCTGTTGTTTACACAACGGCGACGGTTTATTGGCTGATGCCTGTCAGACAACAGCAGCGGGAAACTGTTTACCTAACTCCAGCTTTCTTAACCTCACCACAAGCTGCTGTTGTCATTGTGCATCAGCCGATGGGACTTAATGTGGCGTGCAGATAATGTCTAAACAGAAGAGAGCTGACAGTGCGGCCTGATTTACAGCCTAACCAGGGATTTACGCTCCTTTCGTTCAGTCATGTGGATCCCGCATATCGTCTATGTGCTGCTGAGGCCACTTCTTTTTCTAAAGTTGTGATTTTTGCAAGAGAAAATATTTCTAAAGAATATTTTCTTGTTTGTTTTGAGGAATTTGCACAGACACATATAATCCGTGCAATATTTACTCTTCTGGAATACAATGCATACCCCAACTTTTTAGCATGTAATTAATCATGTAAAAATATAAAACTTTGGCACACCTGCAGACCCAATGTAGGCAAGGATGGTAACCCTGGAGGAACTGCTGAGATCCACAGCTCAGATGCCAGAACCGGACCTCAGGATCTGTCTCCATAAATCCCACCTTTAGAGGAGAGAAAAGAAGCAGCCATTGTTGACTAAAGATGGATGGATGCAGTTAGAGAGCTCAGACTGAGGTGGAAGTTCTCCTTCAGACTGATTTCTTGGAACGGCCTAGTCAAAGTCCAGACCTCAATCCACCTCTGCTCTGCAGCAATCTGACTTGGATTGAGAATTTACTGCAGCAAAAGCAGGATTTTATAAAGCATTGACTGAATGCATGCCACTCTGTTTAGATTCTCTTTCTGCAGGTGTGTGCAGGTTAACTAAATCAAATTATTTCCGACTTCAATGTTTAACATTAAATGTAAAAACAGTCTCATTGAAATTGCCGCTTTTTGAAAACTGAATTTTAAACACAGGGAATCTTTATTTGCCTGCAAAAAAAAAATGTATTCGCCTGTTCAAAACTTGCCTGCTAATCCAACTGTTTTTAATATTGTTTTTTTGTTTCTGCATTTTTTATTCTTTCCTACTTGCTTTGATTCTGTTTTATCTTCCTGTATT